GAACTTGGGTGTGCTTCAGGTTATCTAGAGGACTTGTTAAACCACAGATTCCTGGGTCCCACTTGCAGACTTTGATTCCCCAGATGTAGGGTGGAGCCTGACGTTCCGTGTTTCTAGCGAGTCTCCAGGTGATGCTGATTCGGGTGGTCTGGGGACTGTACTTGGAGTAGCAAAGCTCTAGAGTAGCCTGTCTTGTTGTAGCACTTGCTTCGTTATTTTGGGATTGCCCATTTGTCTTTCTCTCTCATGAGACCTTAGGTTTCCTGGGAAAAAGAATCAGTTTACCCATCAGTATAGCTGAGTCACTGGTACCTGGGATATTCTTGGTGTTCAGTAAGTGTCTGTTGAATGAATGAATGAATGAGTGGGTCACTGTTTATGCAGCAAAGTTCAAATCATTTTGCTTCTTGTGATGAGCTTTCTTTTAGACTATTTCAGCCTAAGAATGTGTGGAATATGATCTACTCTTTCTGTATGCCCTCACCTGACACTGAAATACTCACTTAATGAGTATTGAGTGAGAAAATCCCCACAGAGATCAGAGGCCATGAATGAACTATAGGAAGATAGACATGGATTTCTTTTGATAGATCTGAAACTTTATGTGAAATGGACTCACAGGTTTACTTTCATTTAGCACAATATGGAGTAGTGTTTCTGCACCTCTTTTATTTTTTATTTATTTTTTTAAAGATTTTCTTTATTTATTCGACAGACAGAGATCATAAGTAGGCAGAGTCAGGCAGAGAGAGAGAGGGAAGCAGGCCCCCCACTGCACAGAGAGCCCGATGCGGGACTCGATCCCAGGACCCCAAGATCATGACCTGAGCCGAAGGCAGAGGCCCAACCCACTGAGCCACCTAGGCGCTCTCTGCACCTCTTTTAATATAAGGCAAACATCTGAACTTACTAGAGCCTACCAATCAATGGATCTCACACTACTTTTTAGAATCTGTGATGTGCCTGCTAGGGACTATATGCAGAGTGAAGGGATACATGATATGGTTCTGGTCCCCCAGGTTGAAACCTGAGTGATGGTATTTCAAGAGCACTTGTAATGTTCAAGTATGTGTGATACTAATCATAAGAATTCATATTTTTTAAGATGCCTAATTACTTGTTTATTAAATCAGTTAAAAGCATGCAGTGAGAAGCAAGTTCTGGGAAGGAGAATGGGGGTAGGTTAACACATTTAGAGCAAGCCCGTAAAAGGGCCATGCTGTGTTATGTACAGGTTATACAATGTTCTTATGGCTTCTCCCTCTTTGTTGCAAGGCCTTTTTGATTTAGGGAGCAGGAATTCTCCTTGCCAGCTTAAGTCTTCTTGGAAAGGAGGTGGGGTTGGAGTTCTTTTGGGAATCCAAGAAATGAGAGAAAAGAAGTGGCCCGTTGGTCCTGAGGAGGGGGAGTTCTTAGTTATTCGTGCTTGCCCTAGTTGCCTTGGGTTTGCTTCACTCTCTGGTTATCTGCTGGCTGCCAACAGCCATCCTCACCCCCTATTCTTTTTTAGTATTTCTCTGCCTCACAGGTTCTGCTTAGGCTGGCTCTGGCTTCTTCATGGCTTCAAGCCCCACTGGGCCCTCACTCTGTATCGTGGCCTCATTGCATCCATTCAGGGTCTGTTTTCTGTGCTTTTGATCTTCATGTTTCTTACCCACAGCCCCAGTAATGAGCATCTGGCTGAAGTTTTTCTTGCTAGGGTAGAGTTTTCTCTGCAAGAGGGTCCCAGAGGCCAGAAACTGTGTGCCCTCTCTTCCTTACTTGGACTCAGCTGGGTGAGACCAGGTGTGAGGTAGGTCTTGTGGTGCACATGTGGCTGCCAAGCCCACCTTTGTATCAGAGCTGGGGGATGGGAGTTGCCTTCTCCTGTGGCTGTGGTCCTGGCAGGTACACTGGAGAGCCCTATGGGGCAGTGGGACTCAAGTAACAGGATTTGAGCAGGCTGGGATCAGAGGAGGGATGGTCTGGGAAGAAGACAGAGATCTGACCCATGAAGAGCCAGCAAGTGGGTAATCAGCCTGCTAAGAGTGAGCAGCGGGGGAGGTTGGATTATAAGGTCCCTAAAGGCCTTGGGGGAGGTGGATGTTTTTTATTAGGTGATAGGTCATCTCTGTAGGCTTTTAAGCCAGACTGTCAGAATAGCCTTGAGACCTGCCAAGAGGCCACTGATGCGCGTCGTCAGGGAGATAATGTGGGAGAGGAAATAGAGTGAGCAGGTGGTCATGGGATTGGAGAATGAACAAACATGGGCTATCATAACAACAGCAGCCAGATATGGCAGCTCCAATTCCAGGCGGAAAGTGGTGCATTCTAGGGGAACGGTAGCTTCTGTATCAGACCCAGGAATGTAGCAGCCAACACCTAGCACAGAGATTTTCATGCCTTCATTTGCAGGGCGGCGGTGGGACAGGGCTTTTCACCAGTGTCCTGCTGGGTTTGTGAGCCATCTGCTTGATTGTTGAGTTGTAAACATCCATTCTTGTGTCCAGCCCATACCCAGCTTTTTAGATACATTTACTCTAGCTGTTTCCTTCAGTGCCAACCAGAAGGACAGTGTTCCTGGGAGTCCCACACATTATAATTTGGCCAGGAACCCAATCCATTGCATACTGATTCCCTCTACCCTGGGTTTTGCCCCTGCAACCTGGTCAGACAATCTGGCCTTGTTTGGAAAGTGCTAGTGTGGAACATTTGAATTTGGCTCTGGGATTTGGTGGGAGTGTTTCAGAAAGTTGTGTGGTCCATTGGGTGCTTAGACTGAATTGTGACCTTTCTTGTTTTATTGATATTGTTTATTATCAGAAACATAGGAGTTTCTGAAAACAACTTGGATGCAACTCAATTTTTAAAAATTAATTTATTTTTAAAAATTGAGATAAAATGGTATATAACATTGTATTAGTTTTAGGTGTGCAATGTAATTATTTGATATATGTATACAATGCAAAATGATTACACTAGTTAACATCCATCATCATACATAGTTACAGATTTTTTTCTTGTGATGACAGCTTAAAAGGTTTACTCTCTTAGCAACTTTTAAAAACATAAAGTACAGTATCATTTACTATAGTCACCATGCTTTGCATTACATCTCTAGGACTTACTGATAACCAAAAATTTGTACCTTTTGACCACTTTTACCCATTTTGCCCCCCCCCATGCCTGACAGCCACCAATCTGTTCTCTGTATCTATGAGTTTGATTTTTTTCTTGGTTCCACATATAAATGATATCATACAGTATTTGTTTTTCTATGTTGGACTTATTTCACTTAGCATTATGTTCTCAATATCCCTGATGCAACTCAATTTAAAAAAAGGCCTTCTAAAGAGTAGGCTGACTTTTTTGAACAACAGATAAAACAGAGGGGGTAATTACTTGCTGACTGCAATAATGCAATAATGCTGATTGCAAATAATGAAGGATATGGACTCATCTCTTAAGTTGTATGGGCCTTCATTTCTTCATCTGAGAACAGGATAATAATACCTGCTGTGTCTACCTTTCAAAGGTTTTGAGATGCTCAGGTGAGATAGGTATGTGTAGTGCTTTGTAAATTTGAAAGCATTCTGTGAATTTAAGATAATAACTAATGATTAGTGGCTTCTGGGGCATTTGAAAATGTCTGATATACATTTAGTGGAAACTCACCTGGTATGAAAACTTTAAAGATGACATCTCAAAGTTGTATCACAGCTCAACATTTTATAGTCTTATTTCATCTCTGAAAGTCACAGAGGGGAGAGCTGGGTGTTGCTGAGAATTACTTGCTGGAATGGGGTGTGTGGGGGTGGGAGGAAGGATGCAGAGATGGTCGGCTGTCTTTTCTAGGGATAGTGGGTAGAATGCCCTCCTAATGATTAATTTCTTGATAGTGTGTGCAGAAGCAGGCAACTTGATGGGTTATTTAGCAGTGATATCTCTCCTTTTCTTTCCTAGTCTCCTTTTGTCCTAAAGGGTCACACTCCTTGTGTTCACCTTAGCCTTGGGGTAGATGGGAGGAATGGAACAAAGACCTAGACTCCTCCTGCCAGAATCACCAGTTTTGCTTCTTTACTCATGGCCTAGTACAGTCTTTTCTCCTGATGTTCGTTTCTGGTTCTCCTTATCCTTAAATCCTCACATTTGCCTTGCATGCCCCCTAGTGGCAGGTCTGATGCACCCCATGTTATGTTGCCCGGTTTGCTGTGATCCCACGAGCAGTTGTTCTCCAGACCCAGTTCTATTACCAAGTGTTACCCGCAGTTCACAAATGCAGAACGACAGGTTCTGGGATCCTGACTTGCCACTTGAGTAGGACGTGGGGAGGTGGAATTGGAATCAGAACTTTTGATTCCCAGAATTATACAATGGAAATGCCTCAGAAAAAAGATGACATGGTTATAGCTTTTGTATATTAAAAAAAAAATGGTTTAAAAGGAAGCTAGATTATTTTGCTGCCTACTCAGCTAACCTGAAAGGATAAAAATGTGGTCAGTATTTAAAGATAAGAATGATCGTCCTTTTTGGGCACCTGGGTGGTTCAGCGAGTTAAGCGTCTGACTTTTGATTTCACTCAGGTCCCGATCTCAGGGTTGTGAGATTGAGCCCCGACTCCGGCTCCATGCTGGGTGTGGAGCCTGCTTAAGATTCTCTTGCTCCCTCTACCTCCATCACTCCCCACCCTGCACTTGCTCTTTCTCTAAATAAATAAATAAATACATAAATAAAGTGAAAAGAATGATCATCCTTTTTACTCTTTCTTCAGCACATGGGAAAAACTTTCTTCACTCACCAAGTGTTCAGTATTTCATGCTCAGTCCTGTTAACAACTTTGAGGTATCCAAAAATTTACGAAGCATGATGTCTGCCCTGCAGAAGTTTATGTTCTAATTACGTCCTAGTTACAAGGTGTTTAAATGTATTCTCTTAAGGAAAAAAAATAAGTATAACACATGATGACTTTTGCTGATGTTTTCTATTTTTACCTCTGAGCATTTGCTTATTTATTTTTGAAGTCCTTCTCCGTGGAGAGAGAACCACATGATAACAGCAGTAATTACCCGGAGGAACCCTGGAGGATAACAGAAGAACAGCGCGAGTACTACATCAATCAGTTCCGATCCCTTCAGCCTGACCCGAGTTCCTTCATTTCAGGTAACTAAGCTGATGGGTGAAGACATGGGTCCCAGATTATTGTCTCACATCGATAACAGTACACATCTTGAGAAATAGTTCACACAAAATGAATGTGACATCCTTCTGTGATTTTGATTTGTTTTCCCTCTACGACTGAATTTCTTATCAACTGTAAACCATGCAGAAAAATACTTGGCAATGACATTTGGAGAATGATGTTTCAGTTTCAAAGGTTTAAGTGGGAATTTGGGGGAGCCTGGTCTAGACCTGTGCCTTATTAGCGGAGCAGTTCTTGAGATGGTAGACTGTGGCACCAGGATGACCTCTTTAATTGCTTATTCATATTCGAGCGAAGATGTAGTGTAGCCTTCTAAAGATTTCGTGTCACAAGTCCCTTAATGTTATGTATGCTTTACAAGTCCCAAATTCGTGCTCGTTTTCTTTGGCTCAAGTCCTTCTGCTCTGGATTTTCTGAGAGAAATTAAAATACGGGAGGAAAATAGACCAACAGTTTTATGTCCACATGTCTGTTCTTCTGGGCTGTATTCTAAATACGTATTCCTGTTGAGTTCTCATGCAAAATTCAAACTGAGGCAAACTGATTTAATTCCTCTATGCCTACATTTTCCTGGGCTGAAGACTAAACAGTGAAATAGCAGAGTCTGGAAGAAAAATTCATAAAACTTTCTTTTTGTACTTCAATTTTGAAGAATAACAATATTTCCTCAATAATTGTAACCTGACATATTGAATATGGACTAATTTTCTCTTGAGAAATAAGGTGTATAATTGAAATATACTTGTGTAAATTCAGAAATCATTTTTCTGATTGGTGGTAGTAGTTTTATTGAAAGGCAAATATCGTAGATACAACAAATTCAGTGTTGACAACAGGACTTAGGATAAGCAGAAACCCAGATTGACCATTTACTAACCTTACCCACTGCTTCAGTGACTTTTAAATTTTTTTAAAAGATTTTATTTATTTATTTGAGAGAGAGAGAGAGAGAGAGAGCACGAGCTGGGCGGGGGTACAGAGGGAGAGGGAGATATGGTTCTCCACATGGGGCTCAATCCCAGGATCCTGGGATTATGACCTGAGTCAAAGGTAGAGGCTTAACCCACTGAGCCACCCAGGTGCCCCTTAAGTAAGTTTCTTCATAATGTATGTGTATAATTAAACAAATACAAATGGGTAGCTGTTAGGGGTGTTTTTATTTTAACTTCCTTATTTTGCAGAATTTCAAATGTGATATATCTAGAGTGACTAGTACAACAAACCCCTGTGTACCTACTACACAGCACAGTGATTTTGTTCAGCCTGTATCCTCTCAGCCCAGATGATTTTGAAGCAGTTATCAGATCATTTCATTTGAAAATATTTCAGTTCATATCTCAAATGATAAGAAAGACTTCTTTTAAAAACGTAACCGCAATTCACTGGCACACATGAAAAAAAATACGAAACACATTTCCTTAATATCATGAAGTCTTTGTTCAGATTTCCCTGATTGTCTCACAAATGCCTTTTAAAAACAGTTCAGTTTGTTGAAGGTCAAGAGGAGTTCATCTATTGCAATTAGGTGATGTCTCTTTTAAAAACAAAATCTTTTCTGAGATATTAACATACCATAAAATTCACCCCTGTAAAGTGTACAGTTCATTGGTTTTTGTGTATTTACAGACTGTATTCAAAATCTGAATTTAGAACACTTTCATTACCCCACAACAAACCACCTACTTATTAGCAATTATTCCCCATTCCTGCTCTCCCCACCTCCCAGCACCACATAATGACTAAACTACTTTTTCTCTCTAAAGATTTGCCTATTTTAGGCTTTTCCTATAAATGAAATCATATAATGTGTGGTCTTTTTTTGTGTCTGACTTCTTTGACTTAGCATAATATTTTTAAGGTTTATCCAGGTTGTACTATGTACTAGAGCTGGATTGCTTTTTTATGGCTGAATAATTTCCATTGTATAGATATATACTACGTTTTATTTATTCATCAGTTGATGGCACTTGATTTGTGTTGTTTCTACTTTTTGGCTATTAAGAATAATGCTGCTTGGGGGTGCCTGGGTGGCTCAGTCACTTGAGTGGCTGCCTTTGGCTCAGGTCATGATCCCAGGTCCTGGGATGGAGCCCCACATCGGGCTTCCTGCTCAGTGGGGTGTCTGGTTCTCCCTCTGTTCCTGGCCCCATTCTCATCCTCTCTCTCACTCTCTCTCAAATAGATAAAAAATCTTTAAAAAAAAAAAAGAATAATGCTGCTCTGAACATATGCATGCACATTTTTGTACAGACGTATGTTTTAATTTCTCTTAAATATATACCTAGGAGGGGAATTGCTGGGTCACATGGTAACTCTGTGTTCAGTCATTTGAGGACCAGACTGTTTTGCACGGCGGCAGCATCGTTTTAACATTGCCGCCAGCAGCATATGAAGGTTCCGGTAACTGCACATCCTCACCGGCACCTACTGTCTTTTGCTTCTAGCCATCCTAGTGATGCCAGATGGGCTGAAGCCCCAAGAGTGAGGGCCTCAGGCCCCTCGCCATGAGCGTTCTTGGCTTTGTGTGAGAAAGAATTCAAGAGCAAGCTGTTCAGAAAAAGAAACAAAAATTTATTGAGTATGGAAGTGAGAAGGGAGCTACTTCACAGATAAAATAGTGGTCTCTTCTCCCAGGTGAGGAAGAGGACCCTCCTTTGCCTCTAAGAAAGAGTTTTCTAAGTTTTAAAAATTAGCTAACTGTATAGGGAGGGGCTTACTCCTTAACTTTGGGTTTATCATTTACATTGGGTGTGTGGTTTCTCCGTCGTCTTAGGGTTGTGAAATTACCTACAGGGAGCAATTTTAAGAATGTCCGCCCTTTGGGGCTTTTACTGCTGGAGGGAGTGGGGTCTTGTGGTCTTCCGTGGTTGGCTCCCGTGACTCTGTCTGCTGCCTGCTCACTTTTAGGTTAAGGGTCAGTCTCAAACCTGAAGGGCTTTACTTTGGTCAACTCGTCTCCTGAGTCTCCCTTCCCTCCTACCTCACTAGTGAGTGTGAAGTAGTATCATTTGTGGTTATGATTAGCTTTTCCCAGATGAAAAATGAAATTGAACATCCTTTCATGTTCTTATTGTATATCTTCTTTGGAGAAATGTCTATTCAAATCCTTTGCCATTTTAAATAAATACTGAATGTAAGAGTTCCTTATGTATAGACATAACTTGGGGAGATTGAAGATTTGGTTCCAGATGACAGCAAATAAAGTAGATGTTGCAATAAAGAATGTCAAATATTTTGATTTCCCAGTGCATATAAAAATTATATTTACACTATGTTGTAATCTGTTAAGTGTGCAATTGTATTATATGTAAAACCACTGTGTGTGCACATATATATATATATCTATATATATGCATTTTTTTTAAGATTTATCTATTTACCTATTCAACAGACAGAGATCACAAGCAGGCAGAGAGGCAGGCAGAGAGAGAGGGGGGAAACGGGCTCCCTGCTGAGCAGAAGGCCCGATGCGATGCGGGGCTTGATCCCAGGACCCTGGAATCATGACCTGAGCTGAAGGCAGAGGCTTTAACCCACTGAGCCACCCAGGTGCCCTAGCACTGTATATATTTTAGTTAAAAAATAATTTATTGCTAAAATATGCTAACCATCATGTGAGCTTTCAGTGAGTTGTAATCCCTGATCACAGATCACTGTAATAAACATAATAATAATGAAAAAGTTTGAAATATTGTAGGAATGACCAAAATGTGTTACATGTGTGCCAATACCACACCGTCTTGGGTAATGTAGTAGGTTTTGAAGTTAGGAAGTGGGACTTCTCCAGCTTTGTTCTTGTCAGTGCTAATTGTTTTGATTTCAATTTTTAGGGATTGTGGTTTTTGAAATTTAGCTTTATACATATATAAAATATTTTCACAATTCTGAATTTGAGTCTGTAAAACAATTTACTAAACAATTTACTAAGTCTAGCTTCTATTTCTATTTCTATTTCTATTCCATCTACCCTTTTCTTCCTTGCCCCCTTTTTTATGGTTTATCTCTTTTTAAAAGTAAAAGCAAATTTTTCTGTGTGTGAATATGTTTATGTGTGTGTGTATATTCTTATCTCCCATCTTCTGTGAGATAAATGGTAGCATACTATTTCTACTTCTCTCCACTTGCTTGTTCCGATTAACATTATGTCCTGGTGATTAGTCCATATTGCACGGAGAGATGTTTCCCATTCGCTTTTATGGTTGTGTACTACTAGATTGTGTGACATGCAGTCATTTATTTAGCTAATCCGCTTTTGGGATTCTTTTTAGTCTTTTGCTCTTACACATATTTTTGTTGTGAATAGCCCTCTACCTGTCTTTTTATATTTTTGTCAGTATATCTTTGGATAATATGATTTTGCTAGACACTGCAAGACACTCCTTCTGTGGGGTTTGTGCCGGGCTGTCATTTCAGCAGCATTGTAGAAGATGCCCATTTTCCTGAAGTCTTACTATCACTACATGTTCACTGACTTTTGTATTTTTCTCCCACTTGATAGGCAAGAAATCATGTCTTTGCATGGTTCTATTTTATGGATCTTTTATGAAGAAGGTTGAGGTGGGTTTTTTTTTTTCAATATGATTAAGAGTCAGTTGGGCATCTGGCTGGCTTAGGCGATAAGAGCATGCGACTCTTGATCTTGGGGTCGTGAGTTTGAGCCTCATGTTGGGGATAGATTACTTTAAAAAAAGGGGGTGTGTGGTTGCATCTATTTCTGTGAACTGTCATAGCTCTACCTGTTTTTGTATAGTGTTATTGGTCTTTATTTTTAAGATTTTTATCTATTCATCATGTTAACATTTATCACTGATTTATCAATGCTATGTATAGCTGTTTTTTACTGGGCTTAGACACTCCTTGTAATAAAAAGTCTGAATCTACATTTTGATGTTTGATTGCTGACAACTTTTTTTTTTTTTTTTTTAAGATTTTATTTATTTATTTGACAGAGAGATCACAAGCAGACAGAGAGGCAGGCAGAGAGAGAGGAGGAAGCAGGCTCCCTGCTGAGCAGAGAGCCCGATGCGGGGCTCGATCCCAGGATTCTGAGATCATGACCTGAGCCGAAGGCAGCGGCTTAACCCACTGAGCCACCCAGGCGCCCCTGCTGACAACTTTTTAAAGCCTCATCTCTCCCTCTTTTGCCCCATATAAAGCTTCCCAGCAGGTCTGAAAACAGCTGGAGAGAACAAGGAAAGGAGGCTGGCTTGGGGTTTCTAGGTTGGCTGGGATTAGGGCCGGGAGGGGGGTGGGGGGTGGGGGGGGAGGATTCCAGCTCATTGATTCAACATCTGTCAGCACCAATGGAGGGAGCACTTGGGCTTTCTCATCAGCTTCCTTCTCTGGCAGGTGACAGCCAAGGCACAATTGAACTTGTTAGCTGTTGGCTTCCGGATGGGCCCTGCCTAATCTCTTTCGGACACCAGGGCAGAACAGTCCCTCTTTACTGTCTGAAGGCCAGGCTGGGTCTCTGGCTTGGGTTTAGGCCTAGTGTGATTTGAAGAAAGGATATCAAGGGGGAAAAAGAAGAATGAGTTAAGGGGTGAATGTCTTTATATCTATAAAATAGCTGACAGGCTCTTAAGACATTTCTGATAAATGTTTGACAAGTGGGCCGCACTGGTGGCCAGTAGTCCTGTGACAGCATTATTTCTCAAGATGCTTTTCAGAGAAAGCTCATTGGTTAATAGGGCACTTTGCTTTTGATTCTTAAAAATCTATCAAAGGAAAATAGATCTGCTTTAGGGTGCATTATAATACCTTATTTTAAGGCCAGCTAGAAGACTTGTGATTGCCAAGGAAAGACTTTCGACTTAATCAGTTTAGAGCTTGAGGCTTTATTTGACTGTTCTTCATGTTAGAATCAAGGACTTTGAATTTTGAAATTGGTCTTAGAGCTGAAACCATAAAAATTTCAATCTTGTTAAGGATTGGTCTAACATTTTAAGTGCAGTTGGGACTTGGAGTTATATAACATGTAAAATGGAATGATTACCTGATTTCAGTTGATACTGGTAAATTTGTGATGGAAAAAGAAAGTAGCAAGAGGTTCCTGGATAAGTTTCTCAAAGAGCCAGCAAGGGATCTTATATTTCACCCGACTCTTTACCAAGATGTCTGTTTTGTCTTGTGTGATAAGATGAATGGTGTCAATTTTCTTTTTGCTCTGTTTTCTGCTGTGATCATATATTACTTTCTCACCCTTTCATTAAAAGTGCTTGACAGATTTTTACTTTAATAATTTTGAAATTTGTCTTCTGAATTTTGAATAAACTTTTGCAGATCTTTGGAAAAATCGAGAAAGAATTTATATGTATAATAAGTATTATGATATTGTTTCTTTTGCCCAATTATAGTTTATATATTCTTTTAAAAGCTGTTCATAACACTGAAAAAATAAAACAAAGTTTAAAAAAATAAAAGCTGTTCATATGTTGTTTTAGCCATATGATTTATAGTTGCTTTGATGAATAAATATTACATTTATTGTTATATGGTAGGGATTCTGAATGAAAATATGACAGTTCATTTACATATAAATTTAAAAAGCTGCTCTAGATAAGTAATTAATGATTTATTTAAACAGTGGCTCTCTTGGCAGGTTCTGTGGCCAAGAACTTCTTCACCAAATCAAAGCTTTCCATTCCAGAACTCTCCTACATATGGTAAGTATAATTAATGCCATATTAGTATCATAGTGTCATTATATACCCATACCTTAGCTCCTACTTTTGCATTTTGAAAGTCTTATCCTTTGAATTTTTTTTTTTTAAAGATCTGTGTATTTATTTTAGAGAGCACAAGCAAGGGGAAGGGCAGATGGAGAGGGAAAGAATCTCAAGCAGACTCCTTGCTGGGTGTGGAGCCCGACTTGGGGCTTGATCTCATGACTCTGAGATCATAATCTGGACTGAAATCAAGAGTCAGACACTTAACTGGCTGTGTCAGCTGGGGGCCCCTTGAATTTTTTTTGACAGATAAAAGAGTGAATAGAACTTAAGATTTTTGTTGCTGTGAAGATTAAAGAAGTTATTATATGAAAAGCACAATGCTCTGTGTCTGGTGCACTGTAACTGTTAGCTGTTACTTAAAAATTAGTTTCCCAATTATTATCGTCCTCTAGATCCCTTTCCTGTCTAAACAATTGTGTGGGCATATGAGCATTCCCATCTTGTGAATTTTATTTTCAGATATTTCTGCTTGATATGATGCAAGTTACCATAAGATCTTGAAAAGCTCTTCTTTAAAATATTTTATGAGGCCAGGTGAACAGAAGGTCCACAAATGTTTTGGAATTAAGTCAGATTTGACTATTCTAACAGCCTCTGAGCTTCATAAATTTGGCTGGTGTTTATCAGCTGGGCCCTAGTTCCAGCTTGCAGCTGTGGTGCGCACTGCACCTCGACGCCGTGCTGGCTGCAGCCTGGGCTCCAGAAGGCCTGTCCCGAGCTGGTCCAGATGGCTGATTTGCGTTTATGAGAACGCTCGGTGCCTCTGTAAACTCCCGGCTGTGTGTGGGCCCTTCTTCCTCAAGCCTGGGTGGGAGATGATGCTGCTATAAATATATAATTAAAACACTGGAATATTTGTGTAAGACTTTTTTGCACGAGGATTTACAAAAATTGTGGTAGGATTTAAAATTGCTTGTCATGTTTTGTGCATTTTATTGGAAAACTATTCCAATAACACTTGCACATGCCAGTGTATCTGAGATTTCTGAGCTGGGTTTAGGTTCTTCAGCAATACAGTCTAGCATAATTCTTTTTTTTTTCTTACAACAAGCCTTATATTAGATTTTAAAGCTAGGGGAAAAAAATAGACTATTGTTTTGAAAAGAAGACAGTCTCTTTTGGCAGAATTCCCAGTCTTAATGTTATTGGCATGAGGCTTCCTCTTTTTTTGTTGAGACGTATCCGTGAAAGGTGAATGGTATTCTCTCCAGTCAGTGTTTGAAACTGTTCCCTGACTCTTTACCCTGCGGACCTGCTCCTTCAGGGCTGGTGCGTTCTAAATATTGGCGGGAGAAGGATGTGAATGGTCCAGAGGAAAGTTAGGGAGCTTACCTTCTCTATTTCTTCTCTGATGTAGAGAGATACCTTTCCAGCACAGTTTTATGTCCCGTCTCTTTACTTGTCCCAGCACAAGTATATTGTCTCTGTACACCTAAGAGACTGGTTGCGCTTATGGTGTCTTACTTTGGCAAATAGGTTTCTTTTGTGCTGAGTAAATAGGTCTGTGCCTTTCAGTGGGAAACACTGACTGAAGCCAAGATAAGCCTTTTCAAGACTGTTTCTTCCTTTCTGTCTTACCTGGTTCCAGCCTTCCCAAGTTGCTGGTTTTATCTGAAAACATAATTCAACCAGTATTTATTGAACTCACTTGTATTTTCCCAGGAGGGAATTAATTCTCAGGCAAATTTTGTTTTGTTTTGTATTTTTAATAGACTTTATTTTTTAGAGCAGTTTTAGGTTCACAGCCAAACTGAGCAGAAGTTAGAGAGATTTCCCATATATCCCCATCCCCACACAGGTGATCATCCCACGATTAAATAGTAGATACAGGTTAAATATCAATATGGTATTATCAAGCAAATTTTTGATACAACATTTATGTGACTTGAAAAGTTCAAGGTTCTTCCTAAAAGCTGAAAAATGAAGTGCTCATTTCTGAGCTCAGTTAACGGTATAATGGCTGGGACAACTATGGAAAGGTTGAGGCCCGTCCTTCCTCTGACCATTGTGAGTGCCAGATCTGGAGGTCCTCACACCACCATGCATTTATTGAATGACTATCAGCTAACGAATTCTGAGCCTTATTTTCCTTTTTGTGCTGTAGTTTCTTGTCTTTTGTACTCAGTGTTGTAAAACAGACCTGCCAGCGAACCTGAAGTGTGTCAAGTTTTGTTTATAAAGTGCTGCTGGTACTGGTGCTGTTGATCAGCATTCGTCTTCCAGGTGCCCCCTGAGATTTCATAGGAGTGTGGAGACTTCGCAGGGCCACCACCAGAGAGCCTGGGAGTTGTGTTTGCATATTTAAAAAAAAGAGATTGATTGATTGATTGATTGATTGATTTCTGGTGGGGTGGGGGGTGGAGAGAGAGACGTGTGCACACTCCGGTGCAAGTTGGGTGGGGGAGGGCAGGCGGAGAGGGAGAGAGAGTCTTAAGCAGACTCCATGCTGAGTGCAGAGCCTGACAAGGCACTCGATCCTAGGACTCTGCGATTAGGACCTGAGCCGAAATTAAGAGTCTGATGCTTCATGGACTGCACCACCCAGGTGCCCCATGTTTGCATATTTGAGGCTGAGTAACTTTTCCTCTAAGCCTTGTGTTATGTGCTTATGACATGTTATAATTAGGGAACTTAGTGATGCTGACTGTGATGGAGCCCTGACCCTGCCTGAGTTCTGTGCCGCGTTTCATCTCATCGTGGCTCGGAAAAACGGCTACCCACTGCCCGAGGGCCTGCCTCCAACTCTGCAGCCAGAGTACCTGCAAGCAGGTAAGGTGTCCTCAAAGTCCTAAACCTTTGACATTTTCCATCCAGGCCTTATAAGAACTTTTTGTGCCTTAAGGTGGTATCCGGGCACTTTGCGGAATCTTTTACATCTAAAGTCCTTTAAGTGCTATTAGATTGTCACATCTTATGATCTAAGAATTCAGAATGGTGTGGTTAAGTGTGAGTCATTTGTTATTCCCATTCTATTATTCTCTGGATGAATTTGAGCCAGTCACTACCCTTTCATTAAAATTGTGCAGTAGGCAAGTACTGAACCTCCTAGCTGATATAAAATGAAGAAGAAGATCTTCCTGTAGAGTCAAGTGCTGACTTGGCATCTTTAGGTATGTCCTAATGTTCCCAAGTGGCCTGGGGCAATGGAATGGAAGAAGTTAAAAAACTACATGCCAGGAAATGTGCAAAGCACTGTGATCTTAATGTACTCTTGATAAATGTTTACATCTCTATACATCTATGTAACTGCAATCAGATAGAAATATGGAACATTCAGCACACCACAGGGCTGGACTGGAACTCTTTGTCTTTCTCCTTAATAGAGCTATTATCCCCAAACCCATTCAATAAGAAGAGTCATGGTGAGTCTAACATTTGTATCAGTTCTTTTGGAAGACTGGAAAATTAAATACCTCTTGCCCTTTTCAAAGGCAGTGGGCACTGATACGATTTCTGTTACTCAGGGAAGTATAGCTTCCATTGTGAAGGTTCCAGAAACAGCTGGTGCTGTCAGTAAGCTTTCTCACATATTAGGGAAGGCCTCTTAAAAACATGAGACGTCTAGCCATGGATGATTATTGGCAAGGAGAAGCAATGTCTAAAGAAATTGTGAATAGTCTTTACAGAGTACACATTTTGTGTTTAGATCTGAAAAAGTTTTTCATGTCTTGTCGCCTCATAACAACACGAGATTCAAAGTGGCCAGTGACTTATCTAAGTCTTGGGGTCTCTGACTCTTAAATAAAAAGTCTTTCATTTTCTGTATTTGGTAGTGGGGGGGCAAAGCTCAACCAAAGGGAGGAGACCAAGTGTGTGACCTGTGCCACTGGCAGGTAAACATGTTGGGGAAGAGTGACCCATTTTGGGATCTTCCCCAAATGCCTCCATAAAATGTTTGCAGGGGAAGGTTCAGGCAGTAGAGTCTACTACTCATTTCAGAGCTTAGGCTTTGGTCATAGCAGCTGCTTTCTGACTATTCCAGCCTGCTACCCTTCCTTCCAGGCTGGGGGAGACCCTCAGGGTTCCCCAAGAACCTGTTTGCAGTTGGGCAGCATGACAGCTCTATTTCCACTTTGGTGTCTATCTCACCATCTTTTTTTCTCATTTTTCCCCCTCTCTGTTCCTCCTGGATTGAGGCAAAGAAGAGCTAACATTCTTGGGGCTATCTTGGCAAGGGTGTAGCTTTCATAACCAAGTCAGTATCAGGTCATCCAGGAGCCCCTTTTCCTGGGAGCAAGGCCACATGATGCTTTGTCTCTCTCTCCCATGAGGATAGACAGCTGACCAGAGGGCCAAGGTCTGCTCCAGGGCTAGTTAGTTATATTTAATACTGTCACTCTTTCCTACTGTGAGCCCTGGGTTCATGGGTTGTTTCAAAAGCCACTGATAAAATTTTTTTTAAAAGATTTTATTTATTTATTTTGACAGAGAGAGATCACAAGTAGGCAGAGAGGCAGGCAGAGAGAGAGGAGGAAGCAGGCTCCCTGCTGAGCAGAGAGCCAGATGTGGGGCCTGATCCCAGGACCCTGAGACCATGACTCCAGCCGAAGGCAGAGGCTTTAACCCACTGAGCCACCCAGGCGCCTTAAAAGCCGCTGATAAAATTTTTAAAAAATCTGTAAGCCCTGTGCAAAAATTGTGTTAACAGAAGACAAGTAACCTCTTTTGATTCCTTCACTGCTGCAAATGGCTGCTTTTGCCTTGGTTATGCAGTTGCGGGTTGGGGGTGGTCTGTGAAACAGAGTGCCAGTCAAGAGGCAGCTTCCTTTCAGTTGGAGTGAAGCCCCTTGTTTGTTCCTGATCATTTGTGGAGGCTGTCAGCATGCATTTATACAGAAACAACTGAAGAATCCATCGTGTACCCTTTAATTAAACAAAAACTGCACATCATTTCCAGAGCTTATGGGATTAATTTTAAATAATAATTATACAGTTCTAATAAAAACCATGAGAGACCTCATAAAACCCCATCAAACTCAGTGATGGTATATTTTAGGCAAACCCTAAGGGTTTAACAGTTAACTCTTTTTTTAAAAAAAGATTTTTATTTATTTATTTGACAGAGAGCTGTATAGAGAGAGAGCACAAGGAGGCAGAGAGACAGGCAGAGGGAGAGGGAGAAGCAGGCTCTCTGTTGAGCAGGGAACCTGCTGCAGAATTGATCCCAGGACACTGGGATCAGGACCTGAACCGAAGGTAGCTGCTTAACCCACTGAGCCACCCAGGCGCCCCAACAGTTACCTTTTTAATGCTTTATCACTCATGTTTATTTTTGTATGTAGCTCAGGAAAATGGCCGGAACTATCTACGTTTTCTCTGTGCTTTTAGACTTTGCATATATGTGTGATTCTGTTCATTTTGGGAGTTCATTTTTTAAAAGATTTTTTATTTATTTATTTGACAGAGATAACAAGTAGGCAGAGAGGCAGGCAGAGAGAGAGAGAGGAGAGGAGAAAGCAGGCTCCCCACTGAGCAGAGAGCCCGATGCAGGGCTCGATCCTAGGACCCTGGGATCACGACTGGAGCCGAAGGCAGAGGCTTTAACCCTCTGAGCCACCCAGGCGCCCCTTGGGGGTTCATTTTTATGGTATCCCACTTGGCTTTTTAAAAAACGTAACTTCCTTATAGCCACTTTGGAAAACAGTGTTGCGGTTCCTCAAAAAGTTAAAAATAGGGCTACCCTATGACCCAGCAATTGTACTACTGGGTATTTACCTCAAAGATGCAGATGTATAAGAGGGGGCACATGTACCCCAATGTTTATAGCTCAATGGCCACAATAGCCAAACGGTGGAAAGAGCGGAGATGCCCTTCAACAGACAAATGGATAAAAAAGATGTGGTTCATGTACAAAATGGAATATTACTCAGCCATCAGAAAGTATGAATACCCAACATTTGCATTGACATGGATAGAATTGGAGGGGATTATGCTCAGTGAAATAAGTCAAGCAGAGAACGTCAATTATATGTTTCACTTATATGTGGAACATGAGGAATAGCTTGGAGGACATTAAGAGAAGGAAGGGAAAAATGAAGGGGAGGCGGAATCAGATGGGGAGACGAGCCATGAGAGACTATGGACTCTGGGAAACAAGCCAAAGGTTTCAGAAGGGAGGGGGTGGGAGATTGGTGAGGCCGGTGATGGATATTAAGGAGGGCACGGACTGCATGGAGCACTGGGTGTTATATGCAAACAATGACTCATGGAACACTGCATCAGAAACTAATGATGTACTGTATGGTGACTAACAACATAAAAAAAAGAAAGCTTAGCTTCTTGTTGCACCTTTTTTTCTCATCTACGTTCAGTCTTAAAAAATCTAACCTAGTTTTCAATAAGATTGGTGAAGGGTATAAATTCGGTTGATACATTCATGCATTTATAATTATACAAGCTTGTTTTCAATAAAATAATGAAACAAATTGTTGTATCTGATTTTTTGCCTAATAGTGGAAATTAAAGGACACAGTTGGAAGGAAAAGTTGGATTATTTGGTAGCTTACCCATGGTCCTTTGATATTTTCCTGTCTAGGTGACTGGGTAGATTATGGTATAGATTTTTACTGTCAAGTTTTAAAAAAAAAGTTGTGTGAGCACCGTGTTACTCTCATGGGTCAGAATGCTGTATAGAAGAGCATTCCTACTGTTAATGGAACTTGCTGGCAGTTAGAGAATTGATGTTCAGTAAACTCGTGTACTCGTAATTGGAGGCAGTGATAGGTGCTGTGAAGTAAAAACACAGCTGCGGCAGGAGGGCGCATAACCTTGGGGAAGACGTCCTTCAATATTTGCGCTGAGATGTGAAGGATGAGCTAAGGGCTGTGTAGGTGAAGAAGGGGGGAAGGGTAGGCTCTGGGCAGAAGGGGCAGCAGGTGTGCTGCAGAGGGCCCCAGGGGGGACTTGGAACACGGGAGGCATGGAAAGTGTAGGCCACAGCGGCTGGAGTGCTATAGGGGCCAGAGCTGGAGGGGCTGGGGGTGAGGCTGAGGACGAAGGTACGGAACCAGTCATGCGCAATGACATTGACGGGTTTTAAGCAGGGAAGTTTCCCCGTCCGACTTGCTGTGGGTTGCTGATTGCTGAGGCTGATGCTGATTGGAGAGCAGGTTTGGAGGAGCAAGGGTGCACTCGAAGACCAGGTTATGGCAGTGGTCCAGTTAGATCCACAGGGGGCTGGCACTAGGGAGGTGACAGTGGAGTTGGAGACATGGGGACAGGCTAGAGAGAAATTTAGCCGTTAATGATGGCGTTTGTAGGTTTGGAAAGTGTTAGCTTTGTCTGTAGCCAAGACCCTCTCCCGATAAAGCTTAAGTCATGCAATTCTAGTCGAATCACTGATTGGTAAACTAGAAGCAAAAACCTTATCTCTGTTAAATCTGCTGGTGTGGTCGGATTGTGGAATGGTACTTGGAAAGGTGTTTCACTGAGTTTTTACTAAGGAAATGAGACTGCGTGGTATAGTCAGAAAAATCACCAGGGTCAGTGGTTTGCCCTACTCGATGTTGTTATAGGATCGCAGGGTTCTCGTCTCACAGAGTCAAACAGTGACCCTCTCAGACACAAAGGGGTGAAGTGAAGTGAAAGTTTCTGAAGTGAAGGTGAGAGCAGAAAGGAAAGAAAAAGCTCTGTGGGGGGAGAGGGGTCCCCAATGGGTTGCCACTGGGGGGGGGTTTAGGTCGGTCTTTTATTGAAAACTTGACCAGGGAGCTTGTGGCCTTGAGACTCCTGGGCGGTCTTGGTCTGAGCAGGGACAACAGAAAACACCCTTAATGACTGACTTCTATGAGGTTTGGTCCATTTCTGCAATCACACTGTAGCCGCCAGAGGCAAATACTCCCTCACATCGGGGACCAGGTGGCCTGGTCTCCTCCCTCATCTCTTGTTCACTCTTTCAGAGCCTAGTCATGGGCCCCCTGTCCCTCCCCGCCTGTACCTTAACCCTCTCCTTACTCAATATCAGTGAAGTTCAGACCAAAGTAAGCAAATGAACAGTTTAAGATGCTTGTACTCACCTGCCTGTTGTAGCTGTTAGTCAGGGGCTAGTACTTTACTGCAGAGGGAAGGTGGCATTTCAAACTCTGGTGGGGGTGGGAGGGTGAGAAAGGATTAAAAAATAATGCCAATCCGTACTTGCTTTGGCAGCACATATGCAAAATTGGAATGACACAGAGAAGATGAGCATGGCCCCTGTGCAAGGATGACAACGCAAATTCATGAAGTGTTCCATATTTTTTAAAAAAATACCAATCCATTTTTAACATTTGATTCAAAAAAATTGTTTAAATATGGCATTAAAATTTTTGATTTTGTAATAGTTGGTCTTGATAAATTTGTAGCTTCTGGTTATTGTCAACCTTGGGATATTGGCCAATTTCCTGGTTATTGAGACATTTCTTTCTTAATTACTTTGTGACAAAGAGGTGAAATAGAATCTGCTTCTCAGAAATGGTGTGGCAAGTATTAGTTTACCAAGTAGCATAATCCACTCAGCTACCCAGCTAACAGCAGCTTCTGTCACTGTTCTATGTTAGACGAAACCCAAAATGCGATTCTTCTTTCCTTGTAAATCAGCAAGAACTTGTACTCTTATTTTTGTTATTTCTGCTAACCAGAAGAATTTTATAAAGTTTTCTTGGTCACCTATCATTTAAGATCATGTCTATTTCCAATAGTAATAGCTAAAATGAAGTATTTCCTTAGTTAATGTTTGTAGCATTAAAACTATCACCAGTTACTGCCATTTAAGAATTATGCTAGTAGGGGCACCTGGGTGGCTCAGTGGGTTAAAGCCTCTGCTTTCAGCTCGGGTCATGATCCCAGGGTCCTGGGATTGAGCCCCACGTCAGGCTCTCTGCTCAGCAGGAAACCTGCTTCCCTTCCTCTCTGTCTGTCTGTCTCTCTGCCTACTTGCGATCTCTGTCTGTCAAATAAATAAATAAAATAAAAAAAATTATGCTAGTAGCATAGTTAAAATATAAAGTATTGTGATAGTGAAGGTTACTACTATGTTACAATGTAAATGCTGACAGTTCAAGTCCCTAGTCTTGCATTTACCATCTAAATGACCTTGAGTAGGTTGCTTAACTTCCCTGCTTCAAGGTTTCATCACATGTAAAATGGGGATGATAGAAATAATAGGTTGTATATGAGAAGAACTTAAAATACTACCTTGGCCTGATTACTGCCATAAGTAGTGTGTAGTGTATCGGTGCTAGCAGGTTTTGTTGTTATATTTCCTAAGCACAGAAGAGCTGATAGGAAACAATGCCTGCTGTGAATATAGTATATATTCTTATGTATTCTTCTTGTTTCTTCTTAGCCTTTCCTAAGCCCAAGCGGGAGTGCACACTATTTGATTCTTATTCTGAGTCAATGCCTGCGAACCAACAACCCCGTGACTTGAATCGGATGGAGGTAAAAGATCTTCATATGTTAATAAATAAGAATGTGTGTGGAATTAAAATCCATTAGCCTGTGTTCTTTACAAACTCTAGAAAATCCACTTTTATAGCATTTCTCTTCATGCTGAGTACTTAGGTTGAGGCTTAGCCTTTCAAATCTAGACATCAGATATATCTATTACTTTTTTCCCTTTTCTTACTAGATTTAGTGAAATGAGCAAAGTAGTGTCTTGACCTTCTAGGGGTGAAAGGTAAGTGTAGACAAAGTAAGCCAGAAAAATGCTAGGCAAATTGTTTACTTTAACGAAGATTTAATTTTGAAGTAAGTGTAGGAAAGTATTTTTAGTAGCTGAGTATGAGCTAGGTCTAATGGACCTGGAATAGTTTTAAGAGGAAGTTTGAGAACTATGTAAGAGAATCCCAGAATACAATCAAAGCTGCCTTCTTCCTTGGGGTTTTTAGTGTTGGGACCAAACAAAGACTGATTTGGATTATTCCCAAGAGAAATCTGTAGAATTCCTACAGTGTTGGGCCATTGATGTAAGGGTCTAGCCACATGCCTAGTGGTCATTAGGTGTGCACCAATGAATAGGAGTCATTATGGTTATTCTTAATATCAGCACGCTCTTCATCATCATCATCACTGTTATGGTTGCTATGATGACACCTTATGATATCTGCTGTTCCCATCCTAAAAAAAAAGTCTGGAAATGTGTAATAATGGAGGATTGTTCATAGGTTGCTATTATAGTCCTCTGACCCCGGTTAAAACTGTTGCAAGATGATGGAAGTCAGACGCAGGATACAGGGTCATTTCTTTCACTTTTTGCAACTGGGTGTAATTATTTATTTATTTTTTCCATGGGGCTCTCATGCGTATAGTCTGTGTGGCAGTGACATCCTCTGTGATGGAATCAGCCTGCTTCTGCAGTGTTCCCTCTGGTAACACCTCTCTTGGCCTCTCTCCTACTCTCTCTTTGAGTCAGAGCCTCTCTTTCTTTTCTTTTTATGAGTAGCTTTCTACTGTCGGGAAGTAGGTATAAAGTGACATCAGGAAGAGTGATAGATGTGCATCTGAAGAGTTTAAGGTTTTTAAATTTCTTTCTTTCTTTCTTTTTTTTTGAAGAACGTGTGTGACAGAGAAGCAGATAACAACAATTAGCCACTTTTCCTGAACCTCTGTGTACTCTGGGGCTGCTGGCAGTGTCTGGAGATTTATGCAGTTGCCCTGTTTTTGTTTGTTTGCTTGCTTGCTAGGGGTCCCCTTGCTTATGTAAAATTATGAGGCTGTTAGGTGATTTATTTAAAAATGTCATACATTCTTATTCTTTCTGGGCAAGTGTTAGGTTTCAACTTGGCAACGGTATCAGGTGGTCTTTGTCCTTCCAACGGAAACAAATACTGGCTGCGTTTTAGAGGAATTAATTACTGGCTTGTGTTGCTTTCCCCCATGTAGTCATTTATCATCTGTCTAAAAGGAAAGGAGCACATCTACAGTCAATTGTGAAGTCTGTAAATGGCGATGCTTTAAAACACACACGCACGCTCTGATGTCCTTGATGACATAGATACTCACCTTTATGGACGTGATGTGCAGCCAGTTTTGTGTTAAATACGTTTGTATACTTTAAACTGGCTCTTTTGGTGGGGGTTGGTGGTGGTTAAAAGTCTTTGTTTTACCCTGTCCAAAGAAGACAGCAAAACAACAACAACAACTCTTTCTCCACAAAATTGTTATATTCTAGGGTGGGGTGCTTTTAGATAATCATGTAATAATGTACAGAATTCAAGGATGAAGTATTGAGGTCAGTTGATGCTTTGGCCATTCAAGAAGTATAGGTCAAATTTTAGCAGCTAATGATTAAATATTTCATTTTCTTCTATTTTATTCATTGTTCTTTCTACCAATCTTTTAATCTCTTGTGAATGCATGCATGGGATTTAAATAGATCTTGATACTAGTCCTGTGAAGAATGACTCCATGAAGGTGTTTGTGCTGTGAATGTGGCTATAGCCAATTCAGGTCACAAGAGCTTTGCTCAGCAGTACAGATCAGATCTCTAGACAGCAGGGCTATAACCATGTACTTGTTTCCTTCAAGAATTAAAGATTATGATTTCAGGTAAAGTCCTCTTTAGCAGTGCTTCTTACATTACTAGATTTCTTTCTTTTGGAAACAGCTTTACTAAAATATAATTCACATACTATACTCATGTAACGTATATGATCCAGTGGTTTTTAGCATATTAACAGAATTGTGCAACCATCACTATAGTCTTGTTTTAGAACATTTTTCATCACTCCAGAAAAGAAAGCCTGTACTCATTAGCACTCATTAGCACTCATTGACTATACCCCCTTCCCTCCAGCCTCTGCTGATCAGTAATCTATTTTCTGTTTCCAAATTTGCCTATTGTGGGCATTTCATACAGAATTATACAATATATAGGGTTTTTTTTGGTGACTGCTTTCTTTCATTTAGTATAATATTTCATTTTTTAAAAAAAATTTATTAGAGAGAGAGAGAGCGCGCGCACGCACAAGCAGGGTGAAGGTTCCTATTCCCTGAATAGGGAACCTGATGTGGGGCTTGATCCAGATGAGCTGAGCTGAAGGCAGATGCTTAACTGAGTGAGCCACTCACTCAGGTGCCCCTAGTATAATGTTTCAGAGTTTATTCATGTTCTAGCATGTTTCAGTGCTTCCTTCCTTTTTATTGCTGAGTAGTGTTCCATTTTGTGGGTCTGCCACTTTTGTTTGTCCGTTCTTCAGTTGATGGACATTTGACTTGTTCCACTTTGGGGTTGTGAGGGGAAAAAATGCTGCTATGAACAATAATGTAGCAGTTTTTGTGTGAAAACATAATATTTTCAATTCTCTTGAGTGTTTACCTAGGAGTGGAATTGTGTGTCATATTGTAACTCGTGTTTAACTTTTAGAGGTACTACCAAACTGCTTTCCTAAGCACCTGCGGTATTTTACATTCCTTTGCCAGTAATGTATGAGGGGTCCAGTTGTTCCATATCCTTGTTAACACTTGTTATTGGGGCACCTGGGTGGCTCATTTGGTTAAGCAGCTGACTCTTGGTTTCAGCTCAGACCATGATCTCAGGTTCCTGGGATTGAGCCCTGCATGGGGCTCTCTGCTCAGTGCAAGTCTGCTTGTCCCTCTTCCCCCAACCCCCGCTTTCTCTCTAAAATAAATAAATAAAATCCTTTAAAAAACACTTGTTATTTTCTGTGTTTTTTATTTTAGCCATCCTAGTGAGAGTGAAGTGGTTGGTATCTAATTGTGGTTTTAATTTAAATTTCCTAATGACTACTGATGAGCATCTTTTCTTGTGCTTATTTGCTACTTGTATATCTGCTTTGGTGAGATACCCAAATCCTTTGTCCTTTTATAAATAGAGTTATTATTGAGTTGTAAATGTTCTTTATATATTCTGAATATTAGTCCTTTACTCAGTGTATAATTTGCAAGTATTTTCTTTTTCCTTTTTAAAAATTTTTTTTTTTATTTATTTGATGGAGAGAGAGCGTACAAGCAGGGAAGCAACAGAAGAAGAGGGAGAAGCAGACTCCCTGATGAGCAAGGACCCCCCGCCGCAACCCCCAGTTGTGGGGCTTGATCCCAGGACTCTGGGATCATGATGTGAGCTAATGACAGGTGCCCAACCAACTGAGCCACTCAGGCGCCCCCCTTTTGTCTTTCTTGATAGTGGCCTCTGTAACACAAATATCTTTTATTTTAACGAGGTCCAGCTCATCTATTTTTTTCTTTCGTTGCTTGTGTGTTTGGTGTCATATCTAAGAAACCATTGTCTAACAGAATATCATGAAGATTTACTTCTTTGTGGTTTTCTAAGAGTTGTATAGTTTTAGATCACATTTAGGTCTTTGATCCAGTTTGAGTAAATTATTGGGTATGTCATGAGGAAGAGGTCCACCTTCATTCTTTTCTTTATGTCAAAGATTTATTTATTTTAGAGAGAGAGAGAGAGAAAGAGAGTTGTGGGGAGGAGCAGAGGGAGAGAGTGAGTGAGTCTTAAGCAGACTCTGTGTTGAGTGTGGAGGCTAATGGAGGGTTTGATCTCATAACCCTAAGATCATGAAATGAACTGAAACCAAGAGTTGGATGCTTAACAGATTGTGCCTCCCAGATGTCCCCACCTTCATCCTTTTGTATATGGATATCTAGTTATCTCAGAATCATTTATTGAAAAGACAATTTTCCCCCATTGAATTGTCTTGCACCTTTTTTGAAAATCAGTTGACTGTAAATATAAGGGCCTATTTGTGGATTCTCAGTTCTATTCCATTGATCTGTCATAATGCTAGTACCACTCTGTCTTGATGACGATAACTTTGTGGTGAGTTATGAAATTGGGAAGTCTGAGTCCTTCAACTTGGTTTTTTGTTGTTCTTTTTAAAGAATATTTTCACTATTCTGGGTCCCTTGCATTTCTTTATGAAATTTAGGACAAGCTGTTCAAATTCTGCAAAAACATGAGGAAGGAGTGCACTGAATCTGTAGATGAATTTGGGGAGTATTGCCATCTTAACAATATTGAGTCTTCTGACCCATGAACATGGGATGCCTTTCCATTTATTTAGGTTTATAAAAAAATTTCTTTCAAAGGTACTTTTTTGGGGATGACTTTTTATTTAATTTTCTACTTCTAAATCATTTTCTTTTACTAGGGTTCTAGTTTATAGTCCAGGTGGGAGAAACAAGTGAAAGAAAGGCGCTGTTAAGATACATTTTCTTTTCTATTGGAGATAGTAGACTTTGAATAGGTAATTATATCTGAAGGCTTCATGGTAATCCCAAGAATCACCTGCCTGTGGACTGTTAAATCCTAGACCAGGTTACCACCAAGCAGTACTGAATTCCATTCTTTGAAACAGTTGAAAAACAGAAGTATTGCTTATGTCCCTGGGGTTGTTCAGATCGAGAGGCAAACCAGTTAATCTTCTGGAGCACTAGATGGCTCCAGGATTTACCCTACTTCCTTTAAGGTTTATTTGATTTTCTGAGTCTGTTTAAAATTAAAAGACTATCAGAAGGCATATAGTGACAAGTCCTCCTCCCATCCTTTCTACCATCTACCCAGTCCCCTTCAATTTTTATGTATCTTTCCAGAATTTGTTTATATATATATATAGATAGATTTAGATATAGATATAGTAAATATTAATATATGTTATTCTTTTATCAGAGACCTTAGAATGCATATTAGTTGAGATTTTATAAGAAATACAAATTTATAGTAAGTAGGTTTTAAATAGAATTTTAAACCGATCAATATGTGATCATTTGAGTATTCTTTCTTTTTAATATTAGTGAGGACTTCCCCTAATAGAGTTAGGAGAAAGTTTTGTTCTGCTCATTTTTCTCATTCCTTGACAAGGAAGCTGTTTGAATCAGGGTTGAACACTCTCTGCATAACAGATTTTGGCAAATACCTACATTATGGGGCCACTTGTCAGAACCCCTCTCTGCTTGTGAGAAAGTATATAAAGTGCAGGTTTGTTTTTCGCAGAATGGGCAAATGTCACACAATTCTCTGGCTGAATCCCACACCAGGTTCAGATTTAATGTGCAGTCTTATACATATGCCTAAATCTGAATCGTCATTTTTTTCCCTCTGCACATGTAAATTTTATTATTTTTTTTAAATTATAAAGTTTTTAAAGTATTCTCTACACCCAATATGGGACTCGAACTCGGGACCCTGAGATCACGAGTCATGCACTCTACTGACTGAGCCAGCCAGGTGCCCCACATGTAGATTTTCAACACAAATTAACTTACACCTCACTAGAAATCTAAAAAAATAAAGTAGTATTGAATGTTAGAGTTTACTGGAGACAGAAATATTGGCAAGCTATGTAGTTTTGAAAGCATTTTCATCATACATGTAACTTAATTTATACTTCAACCTGTATAATTTATTTACTTTTCTTTTCCAAGAAGCTATCTATTAAAGACATGGCTGACTTTCCTGTTCCAGCCCAAGATGTGACCAGTGATGACAAACAAGGTATGAAAAGAATGGGTGTTCTTCCTTAAGGGACATTCTACCTGTGTTTCTTCATCTACTTCTCTTGGAATGGCTGGCTTCTGGAGCATATAAGGGCAGTGCTCAGTATATGAACACATTTGGATGGATTAAGTAGTTCAAATTGTCAGAAAACTGTAGTTTTTTTAAAGATTTTATTTGTTTGACAGAGATCACAAGTAGGCAGAGAGGCAGGCAGAGAGAGAGGAGGAAGCAGCCTCCCCGCAGAGTAGAGAGCCCGATATGGGGCTCGATGTGGGACTCGATGTGGGACTCGATGTGGGACTCGATCCCAGGACCCTGGGATCATGACCTGAGCCGAAGGCAGAGGCTTTAACCCACTGAGCCACCCAGGCGCCCCAGAAAACTGTAGTTTCTAAAGTGGTAACAGGAGCTTCCAAAGCCTGCTAACTCTTTGGCCCCTTACTCACTTCTGACCCTCAGACTACTCTGACCCTTTACATTGGGATTTGGTTGTACTAATTAGGAAATGACTGGAAGCTGGAAGAATTGAGGGCTTAACATCTTGGGTTGACAGATGTGATCCAAGAACATCAGTATAAATGCATATTTGTGAATAGCTCTAATCCTTGAGGAACTTATCTTCTAGAGAGAGTTTCTGTCCCTTGGATTTATCTTGTGACTTTGTGGATGCAAGGCTATGTCGTGGAGCCAGAAACCCTTTGTCTGTCTTACTGGGCAACGGGCGAGTGAGAAGCCATACTGCACAGTTTTCCATGTTAGAGCTGCCATGAAGCACATAGATGAGTTGGCCTGGGAATGTTCAGAAGAACAGTTGGAGGTCAAACCCCCACCCCCCAGCTCGCAACACCACTCCATATAATTCTTTATAATCTACCAGATCCTTCTTTCATTGTCTTACGTCTCACAAAACTGGATGGAGGCCAATAGGTTTTATCACCTAACACGCAGAGACAGTAAACCGAAGTGCAGTCAGTATGTATCAATTGCTTAATAAAAAGAATGGAGATAAGAACAAAGATTGTCTAAGTCTCAAGCCGGTATTCTTTTTATTATTTGATACTGATTTACTACCCATGAATGAGAGGCTTATCTGAAGGGACTAAAAAGCCCTGAAGCTATTTTGGGCTTTATTGTTGAGACTTGCCATTGTTGCCCCTTTGTACGGGAGTTAAACATGAAAAATAAGTTTTCCATTGGGAAACAATAATTGCTTGCTCTCTATTTAAATATTTGTTCAGGAGAGGCAGGCAGAACTAGACATTTTTTGCAACAGTGTGTACTCTCATCACTGCCTTTACTAGTGGGTCTAAGCCTTGATTGCACTTTGGAATACCCTCGTGAGGTCTGAAAATACCGAAGGTTGCATCTCACTCCCAGAGAGATTCTTTTTTTTTTTTTTTTTTTTTTTTAAGGATTTTATTTATTTGAGAGATGGACAGTGAAAGAGAAAGTATAAGTAGGGAAGAGAGAGAGAAGCAGGCTTCCACTAAGAAGGGAGCCTGATGTGAGGCTCCATCCCAGGACTCCGTGATCATGACTCCAGCTGAAGGCAGATGCTTAACCACCTGAGCCCCCCTGGGAACCCCTCCCAGAGAGATTCTGATGTCATTGGTCTGGGTGTCAGGAATGAAAGGGGGAAATTTCTCATATTTTCTGGTAATATTCCTCATAGCCACTAGAGGTGTTCTCTGTTGAAAGTTGGAAATACTGCTTTGTTCCTTGTGGGATGAGAACCTATTTCCATATGTTAGGGTGTTTTTATTGTTTTACTAAGTGCTATACCAACCTATAGAGCTTTAAAACACCATTTTCATAGGAATTCTTTGTTTTAATATAATGTGCCTCAGACATAAAATTTTATAGTTTTTTTCTTTTTCTCCTTTCTTTCTCTTGTTGTTTAAGAACAAAACAAAGCACGTGTAGCTTTGAAAAGTACTGTGGATGAAGCCTTGCCAAAGGATATGTCTGAGGATCCAGGTAGGAGAAAACCATTTTAATATGTTTTTATGTAATTATTTCTAATTTAAAACACCCAGTAGTTTCAGTGAGTAGAAAATTGGTGGAAGTGTAGGTTTCTCTCTAAATATTTGCCTTGTGTTTTATTCTAAGGTAACCTTTTGGTTGCTTTTTACCACTTCCCTCTTTTCAGGCTTGAGAAGAGGGTAGGTTTTTTTTTTTTTTTAAGTTCTGAATTTAGGTTTCACTGATAGGATCATGCCGTTTGAAGTTGGTCTCATTGTTACTTTTACTGTGAAACTGGGAAGGCTTGGAGTTGAGATTTCAGTAAGCCACTGTGGTTTGTGTGTAGAGTAGGGAGCTGATGGGTAGATCAACTGGAGGCCCACAGCTGAACTTTCCCATTTCCAAAGCAAAAATCTCAAATATTTTCATTAAACTTCACCACCAGGAAGGCAAATAAATGTGCTTATACTTGGAGTGGATTCCAAGGAAAAAAGAAAAGTTGTGTTTGTCCATGTTCTTAGGGACTTGAAACTGTGTCTGTGAACTGTGGAGATGGCCAGGCCTGTGTCCTCAGCTCTCTTGATGGGAACCATCACTGAACCAAGCTGAACCTAGTTAAAAACAAAGGCTAGGGAGGGCATTACTCTTTGGAGCTCCAGTTATGAGGATGTGAAAGAAGTTGCTGCATTCTCTCATTGTTGTCTTTCATAATATTTAGTAAGTAAATTATGTTTGTTTTGGTTAGCTGGCTATCATCCCGGCCTTATTTGTTTAAAGTTGGAACAAAGGTATCAGTGTAACATTGAGTCTTAATGTTATAGTACCGTATTTCCCAAACACTAAGTTCATTCAAGGTTTAAAAGAGAGAGAGGGGTGGGGGAAGATAAAAGGAGGAGGGGGGGACAGAGAGAAAGAGAGAACATGAATATGAATGAGACTCTATGATTGATTTCAGTGATGAGGTTTAAGATTCTGTGTTTTTTAGTCAGCCCCCCAGGCGATTCTGATGTGTAGCCTATTTTGGGAGCCTCTGCCTCTAGGAGTTGATGTTAAGAAATAGAAAATTGAGATTGTAGATCAATCATGACTCCAAAAGTGGTAGGAATTCTCAAGCTTCGTTTAGGTTTTTGAAACTGATTTGGGTTCCTTCGTCATAGGGAGAAATGCTCAGTTTATGTGACGACAAATGGAATGCTGGCCTGTTAGAGAATTAAACTTCAGGCTTGCTCTCTTTTCCCATTTCAGGACAAATGCCTCAGGTGGGTTCTTTCCACCTCTAATTTCTGGAGCTAAACTGGATGCACCTCTGTTTTTGTAAACTTCATGTTAACTGTATAGTAAAAGCTAGTTGAACTTGGAGAGTTAAATTGGTGCTTTTCCAACAGCCTTTTAGGCTAATAACTTCCTATTTTTTTCCCATGAGCATCATGTGTTCTCTGGAGCGTGAGCGTCACATGTCATTTTTAAGATTCCTTCATTGACTGGGGCATGGAGTTGCCCGACAAATGCTATCAGGGTGTGCCATGGTGCGTGAAGTACATTTGAATTTGTTTCACATTCTGCCTGGGAACATGCTATGTGGTTTCTGATTCATTTTTTCCACTGCTGCCCATTTCTGGAGTAGATACGAGGGAATCCCTCATCTGAAAACCCATTTAAAACCCCCTTTCCTGGGGCAGGTTTGGGTTTCTAGTGCGAGACACTATAGAGTTTCAAGGTGGTGGTTTTTAACTCTGAATGTCTGTCCGTGCCACACAGACGTTTCGCCTCAGTTTGAGTGCTGCCTTTTAGGGAATTAAACTTGAAGCTTGCCTTTTAATCTTTTTACAGTTTGTTGCAAAGTTGACCTTCCCAGGGTGTTGTAGGAAGTTGTCATTCTTCTCCCCTCTTCCCAGTTAAATGAGAAGCTGTGATCTCCCCGCTGGCTTCTGCCTGGACCCCAACACAACGTGCCCTGGCCATTTTTGCAGACATTCGCATGCCCCAGATGCCGAGTCTGACTTTCAGGGGCTTAGAGGCCGATGGGAGACTTAACTAAAAGAGTGTTCTCTAGCTTCTCGTCATCTGAACGAAACTTGTGGGAACTTACCAAGATCTGGCTGGAGTATATTTTTGCCCATGGCAGGAGAAGAATCACCCTGCCCTGCTCTTCCACGGTGGCTGGTAATAATGATGATGATAATGATAATAGTAGTGGTGATGAGGATGATGTGGTGGTAGGACCGTTGTCAGGGAATGGGGGTAATTCCTCGTCACGTATTTTTAAATAGACCTTACCCTTTTAATTGCTGCAAGTGTATATATTAGTGGAGCCTAATAGATTCCTTAGCTAACATCGTATTCCAGCCTAATTCAACAGGGCACACTGTACAATGGTGATCTTTTTCTTGACGTCTCTAGGTCACGCGGAGGGGATTAGGCCTGTTGATCCTCACACCGTAGTCACCAGGCGCCACTGGTGATTCTGGCGGCTCCCTCAGCTGCTGCCCCACGGTCTTCGGGGTAGAGCAGTTTTCTCCTTCCATCACCTGCTCCCACCTGTGCCTCTTTTGCTGTCCTAATGGGAACTAAATTTAGAATCCAGGTTTCTCAAGACAGAGGATCCCAGGGGAAGGGAGTGAAAAATGAAGCAAGAGGAAACCGGAGAGGGAGACAAACCACAAGAGACCTTAATCTTTAAACTGAGGGTTGCCGGAGGGGAGGGCGGGTGGGAGGGATGGGGGTGCTGGGTGATGGACATTGAGGAGGGTGTGTGCTGTGATGAGTGCTCTGAGTTGTGTAAGCCGGATGATTCACAGACCTGTACTCCGAAACAAGTAATACATTATATGTTAATAAAAAAAAATGATGTATTATATATCGGCTAATTGAACATAATAAAAAAAAGAACTATGAAAAATTTCCTAAAAAAAAAAGAATCCAGGTTTCTTAGCTCAAAAAATTAGGAGCACTCTCTAACAGTAATATTTTGCAATTCTAAAATACAGTTCGTTTTCAAAATACCTTCACCTTTTCTCTGTCCCCATGAGAAAGAGGCCACATTTTTATTATCTTCATTCTGTAGATGAGGAAACTGAGGCTCAGAAATATAATAGTTAAGGTTGTAGCCTGGAGGGATATGTAGGCCTCAGGACTCCTGTCTGGGTCTCCATTGCTTATCCATACCCCACACCCCATCTGTCTGTGTGTCTATCTCTCACCGGCAGGGTTTACCCCTCCTTCCACACCCATTCTTATCCCAGCAAAAAGAGATAATGGCAACTGACAAAGGACTTAATGGTCACCCCCCATGATCTGGTTTGGGGAACCAGACTTCTATTTGAACATGACTGAGACTCTCCCAACCCACATATTTCTGGAAAGCAGAGTGGCCTGAGGGAGAAGAGGGGTTCAGAGCCAGCTGTGGGGAGCCTGCCAAGAGGGTGGCCCCCAGCTTTGTGGTGAGTCTGTTTACACTGTTCAGTCAGCCCCACGGCAGCCTGCTTGACTGCAGGATGGGCTCCCCTTAGGCCCCCTTCCTTCGCTGCCCGGGGTTTGTGGGGTTAGGGGTGGCGGGGGGAGCTGCATGTACCTGCAGGTGTGGGTGCATGCTAGTGGGTAGGACAGGGCTCAAACTTCTTAGGCCTCCCATGCTTTTCAGGGCTTTGGTAGCATTTTGAGGGATTGAAGTCAAAAGGTGCCTATGTTCTCACTACACCAAGCCAAAATGTTTATTTTGGGGAGAAATGCATCTTTTCTGCAGCTGACCATATCTGAGGGAATATATATTGCTAGTTTGCCTTGTGCCTTGTTAGCATTTTTAGCTCCCCTTTCTCTGCTGCTTATCTAACCCATGGATTTTAATGACCATCATCAATCCAGGCTGCTTCTTCCCAAGGAGGGTTGTTATCTTTAGAGCAATATAAAAAAGGGTGGGGTAATTCATTGAGACACAAGAAAATGTTTGGAAGAATTTGCACAAACAATATACAACCTATATTCTTGTTCCTAGTTAGTAGCACTTTTTCTGTGGATTTTTAATGAACATTTTATGATGAAAAATTTGCAGTGGTTGCAAAACCTTAACATAACTAATGGTTTCTGAAGTTGTCTTCCGTAGGGTATTGAAAACGTAAAAAAGGATTAATCTTTTTGTGTTTATAATTACCCCAGCAACTTGTGATGGGAAAGTAGGCTCCATGGCTGTTGATGCTGAGCAAGTTAGTTCATGATTTAAATTTGATAAGGAAAAGTCGTATGGTTGATAAAATATTTTAATGATTTCACTCTGTAATATCCCCTGTATGATTTGGTCACAGAGACATAGGACACAAGAATATTTTCTTACAGAAAAATCTGTGTAGCTCATTTCAACTTGTGCGAGCTGTGATTTCTTGTGCTCATGCTGCTCTGGTAGTATATTTTAAGAAAACCTTGAAATATGTAACCTGATAGATTTCTTCCTAGCCTTCAGGGGAAGCTGGTTCAAAATCAATTACTAGGCTCTCATGATAGACCAAGAAAACCACAGGTCTAAACCCACTGTTATATAAGCAGATAACCTCTTGAGAGGGTTGTCTTTTTAGACTAGAATTTCTTTATTCGTCAACGTAGATTTGAAAGTAGCTCCTTAGTGCTCTAACAAAAGAAAAAAAATGTTGGTCTCTCCCTCCTTTGAATTGTGCCTTTAGCTTAAGAAATAAAGTAAAAAAATAATGAAAATGTGGAGGCAGTCGAGTTCTCCACAGGGACACCTGTACCTCACGTTTACCTGTTGATAATGTTTGTTCTGCACTAGCCCGGATATTGCTTTTAAACCTGTTCAACTGCAGAAATGAAAGCCAAGTAAACAACAACTAATCTTTGTTTCAGCCACTTCTAAGGATTCCAACAGTCTCAAAGCAAGACCAAGATCCAGGTAGTGTTTGTTTAATTTCTGCTTTAATGCCCTTTCTATCCTGTCCCCGACTAGAAATAAAATCCCAGAACCTGAAGCCCAGCCCATCAGATTTGAAGCTTAGAATAGGGGTGAATTCACTTGTCATGAAGGGCTTGCTTGGAGCATGCGGTGCTGCTGGGAGACACTCAGTTTCTGTATTTATTAGTGCCGGAAGATGGTGGCTGCTGCTGGCTGGTCGCCTGACAAGAGGTGGTTTGTGTGCATGTGGCCCAGTTGTTGCAGGATGATAAGGAATAGAGGGCAGTAGCTTTGGAGAGAAGGAAATGTGGTTCAAAGGTAACACTGAAATTTACTGTCAGGACAAGGTGGACACCAGGAAGTGAGACTCCTGAGGGATGAAAACAGAGTAGGAAAAGAAAATGCTCACAGTGATTTTGATGAGGCTTGAGGTTTTAGGTAAGCAGTGCTCATGGTCTGTTTTATCCTGTCTTAGAGCAGCTTTTTGGCTTCACAGTTTTTAGATCCGTATAAGCTAGTAGAAGAGGGAGAGCAAGTAAGGCAGAGCTGCAGTTGACATCAGACATCAGAGTGGAGGATGGAGGAGAAATACAGAAACATTAATAGAACATCAAAGAGGGGAAATGGTATTGGGACCACTCTTCAGTGCTGAGTACATATGTGTACTGGACAGTACATATGTGTTTGCTTTGGCTTTTGGTGACTTTTTCTTCCTTTGGCTATGAGACACATTCCTGAAAAAGTGAATTTAAATCTGACCATATTTTATATGCTTGAAATAGTGATAATTAAGGAAACTTCATCTTTTTGTAAATCTGAGAGTTATCCCTTAGTTTATCTTTTATGTCTGGATTTTCTTAAACTGGAATTCTTGTTTCCTTGTTTATAGAAGATACAGATATCTATATTCATAGTTTCTGAAATAATAGATACAGTAATTTTATTGGCAGAAAAAAAGGTATAGTCCCTGTTCCTGTCTGTGGCTACCACATTTACTTGTCTTTTTTTTTTTTTTTTTTTTTTAAGCATGAATGGACCTTTTACTGTACTGGCTTAAAGTAGTGGCTTTAGGATATAAGAATAGTAACATTTGTCTGCCCTCATAGTTTGAAAAACCTTTGAATTACAGAAATCTGTTTATGTGTGCTGTGTTAACTGTAAATTAAACCTCACAGTTTTCTTTTGTTTACTTCCTCTCTTTCTCAAAGTGAATGAAAGTATAAAGTTTCATAGTTACATGTTCTATTATTAATAGAACTTTATATATTAAAGTTCTGGCCAACTTTTATATATTATCCTCTTAGGGATCGGTCTCCTGGTCTAATTTGGATGTTTTTATTTTCACTACTCCCCAACTGGGTCTTTGCTGAGACTGAGAGACTCAAATTACTTTTATTTTCCTTTTTAGAATAGTAAAACTTTGGAGAAATATGAGGGAAAGAGGGAAAATCACTGTTTTAATACGACTTACATTCATTATTTTGTTGATTCCCTGCACATTTGTATTTAAATTGGTTGTATTCACAGTTTTACAGTATCACTTGTTTAATATTCAGTTAACTTTCCATATGCAAATACGAGTATACAGGTTATATATGGAGATAGAATGGAATGAGCTATGTGGTATGGGATAGTATGCCTAACTCTCTATATGTGTGTTGACATACACATGCATACACACACCCGCTCCCCCCATATATTCTTTCTTGACTGAAGAATGTCACTAAAGCTCTGTCTGGCATAAAAGTGCTTTTAATTTCTAGCTAGAGTATCTGATTTCCGTTTTAAATCAAGATTTCCCAATTGAAAGCTTTGTTGCCCTTTCCTATCAATTTCCTTTCGCTCTAATTGAAAGTATGAGACCATTCTTGCTGCCAGTTCCTGCATGCCTTCGCCTTGCCTGTCTGGCCAGTTGTGTTTTTTTTTTTTGTTTTGTTTTGTTTTGTTTTGTTTTTAGATTTTATTTATTTATTTGACAGAGAGAGATCACAAGTAGGTAGATAGGCAGGCAGAGAGAGAGAGAGGAGAAAGCAGGCTCCCTGCCAAGCAGAGAGCCCGATGTGGGACTCAATCCCAGGACCCTGAGATCATGACCTGAGCTGAAGGCAGAGGCTCAACCCACTTAGCCATCCAGGCGCCCCTGGCCAGTTGTTTTACAGAGCCCACCCCAGAACACGTTCTGTGCCTTTATGGCAGTTTTATGAAAGATTGCAACCTTGCATGACAGACAAAACTCTTCAACTACCACAAAGAAACCTTGAGGGAATGATTCAGGAAAGTAAAAACTTGCTATGTCAAAACCAGATTTATCAAGAACTGAAGTTGCTTAATAGTGATTGATAGGTTCTGATTTCATAAATGGCACTCTAATAGCTAAATACTAATAATAGTTTTCTGAGGTTAATTTGCCTCTAGAACACATCTCTGACTCAAAGGTCATTTTATTCTTTGACATGAGCTTAGCTGAGAGGCTGAATAGAACGGATGTACACATCCACTTCTTTGAAAATCATATTGGAAACTCACCCACAAACCTGTTTCTAAGCAATAGACTAATGTACTGAGTTGAATTAATATAGAAAATAATTAAGTCTCTAACAAGTAGTTTAGCCGCTGCTAAAAGATTTCTTTCCGGGCTCATAGGAAGTATCAGAATATTTTAAAAATGGAATTTAGAAACAGATTGGAGTTTGAATTGAACCAATATAACTTTCTAATTGTGTGACCTTTGGCAGGTTATTTATTTCCTGTTCCTTTGAATGTAATTATTGGAGTTACAATCTCAGAAGTTGTCTAGTTAGCTACTGTCTTGTTACAGAATGAAGGACAAAGTTTAGAGGAGGCTTTACTTGGAAAATTTCCCCAAACTGGTATTTCTCATGATAAGACAGCCTAGACCCCTCCATCTGATACATGTGTGTTTCCCTTTCCTGAAATGCATTTGTGGCATAGTCCCTTGAGCTGCTGATTCCTCACTCTCAGCTTCTCTGCCCCACTTCCATAGGTGCCTGTCATCGCATTTGCATGGGAACGGGAGAAAAGTGCTGCAGTCTGTTAAGACCCTGAAGCCCTTCTGTTCCAACACGGACGTGCCTAAGCAGAAGGCTTATGCGTTATTCTTATTAACAATACCCATAGAAACGGATCTGAATTTACAGGAAGCTTTTCCTTTGTGTAAATTTAGATCTAAGATATAATATGAACAAAGGGGTTAAAAAAGGTTCTGATTCATGGCTGGGTTTGGATAGTTATTGCCGGTAGTGGTACCCAAGGGACAGTTGAATTCGTGGTTGCTTTGAGATGGGCCTTGGTCAGTCTTTTGGAAAAGTGACTTTGACTTCTGTGGGTATTTCCATTTTAACCTTACTTCAGAGACTAAAGCTTTGCTGTCTCCCTTCTGACCTTCCCTTATTTTGCTGCAGATCTTACTCTAGCACCTCCATAGAAGAGGCCATGAAAAGGGGCGAGGACCCTCCCACCCCGCCACCGCGGCCACAGAAAACCCATTCCAGAGCTTCCTCCTTGGATCTGAATAAAGTCTTCCAGCCCAGTGTGCCAGGTGAAGTGCCCCTCTGCACCCCAGTCTTTCCCTTCCCTGTTGGAGTCACTGGATGTGTGTCCGCCACAGAGGCCTTTGTGAGTCCACAGAATGAGCAGATCTGACCGTTTCCTGCCCCAGGAAGGTGTTCGAGTTGCTATGGTATTCTTGGGAGGGAAAGCAGTTCTAAGCAGATAGATATCCCTCGTGTCTGGAGCCTTGCCCACACTTGTATGGACCAAGAATTATGAAATTCTGTGCTAAGAGGATTAAAATACTTTAACCCCAGACAGCCCACTGAGTGCATGGCTGGGGTCTCGTTCTCTGTAATTTGTATATAAGATTGCTGTCTGTCGTTTCCTGAGATGCTTATGTAGTTCTTCTCTGAAAGAGCTTGGGGATTGACACCGGCCGGAAGCTTCCCCTGCGTCTTATCCTTGTGGTGAAGATCCTGTGTCTTGGAGGATTTAATGCTAAGGGGGCCTGCTTTCTAAATCTGACCAATGGTTCGGTGGTTGGTGGGGGGACCTAGGGCAAGAGCTCCTCCAGGTGGCTTGCTGAGGGGTTTCTGGGGGTGCCACTTCCTTGAGCCAGCTGCTGTACAGCTGGGGTTGGAGGTGGGGGAGGTTGGAGGGCCCTGTCTGCTTCCCTGGCTCCCTGTGAAGTGGGAGATTTCCTCCTAGGGAACCTACAGAACAGCAGATGAGAACCATGCATGCCTTTGCTTAGCAAAGGTGCTAGGATGCAGTGCCTTCCCAAGTGTTATTTTGAGAGTAACAAGGGCCTTTCCACTGACTAATGTAGGCAAACTATAAATACAGTGATTTTCTGGAACTTTTTCTCTATCTGTGTGCGTTTTAAATCAAGCCAGCCTCAGATGCTAGTGATTTGCAGATTATTATCTTTTCTACTAAAGCAAGAAAAGACTCTCCTTGGCTCACACATTAGCATGACCTCTGTGTCCCAACAGAGCTCAGCATGTTTTAGTTGTTCTAATAAAGTAGTCTCCTCACAGTAAAGTTACAGATTGTTTTTTAATATACTAGAGTCTTGAACTCTCTATGAAATTTGATTCTCTGCCATGAGTTCATCAGATAAAAATTTGCCTTGCATTTCCCCCCATACTTTGATCCAAATTCTGGCATAATTTCATAGTAACTGGTATTTGAGGTGGGAGTAGCCACAGATGATGATGCTATAAAAATTTCACATGGCTGGTGGATTATGACCCAGAAGATTTTTCTATACATGCAAGAAGATTAAAACAATCTGGGCAGCTATCTTAATACGTTTTCCTTGCAAGGAGAAGCTGGAGACGTGCAAGCATATCTCTGGCTGTGCAAGCCCGCGAAGAGTGCCAGCTGTGCGGGAATGGTTGTGCTGTGGCTTTTATGACATTGTGTCATATGGTGGAAGAGACAAGACTGGATTTGGAGTTCAGCTCTGCTGCTTATTAACTGTTTGATTTTCAGCAAGTGACTTAATCTTTCTGCATTTTGAATTTTTAATCTCTAAAATAGGGCCAGCAGTCCATGGAGCTGTCGGGTTTTGGTGAGATAATAAACATAATCCTAATAGCAACATGTTTGACATCTAGGCACTCATTTGGCTAGAAATCATTGAGGAAAGGGAATCTGAGGTTAAAGTCCCTTGCCCCCCCTTGATCGCCAGTGGTTCAAGTCTGTGATCCACTCCCTGCAGTTCCTCAGTGGGCTCACAGAGGGACTGAGCCCCAGTTGCCTGCTGTATTATGAGCAAAGGACTGTGAAAAACAGAGTAAGTGAGGCCAGGTTGCTGAGTCAGAGTGGCCTATGGTGGACTGACAGTGTGGAAAAGAAATACAGTGGAGAGAAGATGCAAAGACACAAGAATGAAAGAGGGAAGTAAAGAAAATGATGAGATGGTTGTTACATAGGAGTGATGATGTTTATATAAAGGGAAGAGAAGAAAGTAGAATAGAAGACTGTAGTGACCAAGGGGAGGAGAGCCCACAGAGAACTCTTCCACAGACTCGGTGAAAGATTTGGATGGGATTTAAGGGAAGAACTTAGAAAAGGCTGGCATCAATGTCTTCCAATTTAGGAAGATCGGTAACATGATATGGGGAAGAATATCAAAGGGCTCATTTCAAATGTAAATCTATAAAAGTGAACAAGCCACTTTGGCAGTATGGGACAATTGGCTTTACCTTTGATATCTGTAAAAACTTATGAATTTAAATTTATGGGAGTCTAGGTTATCCCAGGGCTCTAGGTAGGTGGGTCCTGGTATTATACCTAAAGTGTATGTTTTCATAGGGAGAAGTTGATATGACACAATTGCTGTGTGTAAAAGGGAGATCACCTTTGTTGTTGTTGTTTTCAAAAGATTTTATGTATTTATTTGAGAGAGAGCACAAGCAGGGGGAGCAGGAGAGGGGGAAGCAGAGAGCCTAATGGGGGCTCGCTCCCAGGACCTGGATCATAACCTGAGCTGCAGGCAGACGCTTAACCAACTGAGCCACCCAGGCGCCCCATGGGAGATCACCTTAGTAAAAGCTGGTGCATGTCAGGGGGCCGTCCTTTCAAGGCCCAAACAGCTGCTGCATTTGAGAGAAGATAAAAATGTGCAAGAAAGTCTCAGTGATGATGCAAGTATACAAAATCTAGATGCAATCAGACCTGGGATGTCTGGATTTTATTGCTCTATGCTTAGAGCCTCGAAACATATTTTATTTTATTAGTACTTTGTTTTAGAAAACATATTATATTACTAAAATTCCTGTAAGAAAAATCACACTGTGAAGGCAGTACTTTTTAGATCCTAACTTCCTTTTCCTCATTGAAGCAGTTGTTTTCATAAAGCAAATTTTTTCATAACGAATTTCGTTTGTTCCAGCCTCTGGGGTGGGAACTCCCCTCCTGCTCTCAACAGTGACCCGCCACTTCCAGAGCCATGCCTAAAGCTTGCAGCTGGTGGTTGCCACGGTGATGGTCAACCCCTTTAGTGCTGCCTCTGCCGCAGATAGCCCTGTGCCAGTCATTGAGTATCTACCTACAGATGGGGCAGAGGGGGCAGAAGTTGTGGGCAGAAGGGGCAGAGGTTGTGTGGAGGAAAAATAGCAATCCCTTTAAAGCTGCAGACCAGACACCTTCATCACTTCCACTCAGCTCTAACTGGGGAAACCTAGTCCCTTGGATATAGCTAGCTGCTGGGCAGCTGGGAAAGGTAGTTCCTGGCGAGATAGCCATTTCCCATTGACACCCCTCTTACTGTGAAAGAGGAGAGTGGATGTTGGTGGGCAGCTCTTTCTCCCACATTGCATGTGGCCAAATATATTCAGATCCACATGTTAAAGCCATTGTGATGGCTGAACAAAACATCTATGGGTAGCATCTACCCATGGATCGCTAATGTTTTATTTCTGCTTTAGACATTACTGATAATAATAGCTCATTCCAGGGTTAAGAAATTATGGTACATCCATATTATGAAAACTTAGGAAGCAGTTAAAAAGATTTAGGTATGTGTACTATCTGACATAAATTAGGTGAAAGAGGCACGGTGCAGAATATGTATGTTCTTAAGTGTATAGGCAGTTTTTGGAAGGTTACTTAGGAAATTGGTAATAGAAGAGATGAGGATGACTGGGGACAGGAGTGAGAGAGAAACTTCTCATTGAATACACACTTCTATCTTTTAAATTTTGCCTTAAGTACAGATAGTAAAGAAATTTTGCTTTTCATTCAGTAGCCACAGTGACCAGATAGTACTTGAGAGTACCAGAAATGTCCTTCCTGGCTGAGTTTACCTGCCTCAAATTTACCATACTCTGTCCAGGGTATTTTTATGACCAGCCTCTTGCCACTTTGTAGAATGCAGCTAATATGACAGAAGCATTCCAGTACATTCCTTAAGGCTCTGATACGTCCTTCAGATTCCTCCTCAGTGCCCTTCCAATATTGAGAAATAGTTTTGGAGGACTCCTCATAGCCTCCATTGTGAGATGGACAGGTGGGCAAAGTGTGATAAGGGCTCTGTCTTAACTTGGAAGGGGGTTGTATTTTTTAGTTGGCCAGCTGAGACGAGTCCGTCCAGGTTTCTCTAAAAATTGATACTTCTTTCTGCAACTTGAGAAATATGTAAACCCTTTGGGAATAAGAGATACAACATTTCTTACCTAATTTAACCTTTCAAGTTCTCTAAAGGATGAATTTGCTCAAACAGCTTCAACCTTATGGATTTCCTTATTGTATCATTCTTGTGAGAGCTGCTTGTTCCCTTTTAAAATCTAGTAGGATTATGGTATTCCTGCTCTACTCCCAAACTTTTGTGTCCACGTTACGCAGCTATCTAAGGGTTCAGTTTGGCAGTCTGGACAGGTTTTTTTTTTTTTTTTTAATGAAAACTTCATTGGGGTAAAATCCACACACTGTAAAATTCGCCCCTTTAAAGTATATAATTCAGTGGTTTGTAGCATATTTATACTGTTGGGCAGCCACTAGCATTATCCAATTTTAGAACATTTTCCTCACCCCAAAAAGAAACCCCATACTCATTAGTAGTCCTTCTTCATTCCCCTATCCTCTCCCCACAGCTGTTGGCAACCTCTAATCTACTTTCTGTTTCCATGAATTTGCCTGTTCTGGACATTGTATTAGTGGCATCACACAACATATGGTGTTTTGTAACTGGCTTCTTTCACTTGGTATAATGTTTACAAGGTGTATCCATGTTGTAACATGTCGGAGTACTTCATTCCTTTTATGGATGAATAATATTACGTTGTAGGAATATGACACATTTTATTTATCCATTTATCAGTTCATGGATATGCATAGGAGTGGAATTTCTGGGTCATATGGTAAGTCTAAGTTGGACATCTTGAGGAACAACCGAAGTGGCCGCACAGTTTACTATCTCACTAGCATTGTCTGAGGACTGCAGTTTCTCACTCTTGAAGCACTTATTATTGCCCATCCTTTTTATTTTAGTCAGCCTAGCTGGTATGAAATGGTATCTTATCATGGTTTTGATTTGCA